ATACCGTCCTGCTGTGATCCGAGATTGGCCGCAGCCGCAGACTTCACAACATGCCACCGCTACTCACCCGACTGTCTCTTATGGGCAAGGATCGAGCATTGCTGGCCCAACTCTAGGCAGAGACACTCTTGGAATTAGGGCATAGATACGAGTCAAAACGCGAATAAGGACTATGAGATGAACTCATCATGGCAGCGAGACGCATGGCAAAGGACTGAGCGAGTTAGGATGAGGGAGTATGCAAGTGGGACTAGTTCAGAGGTGCTTGGGCGAATGTGGAGAGAGTATGGATTCTCGAACCCCGAAAGTTAGATGTACACTATGGAAAAGAATGGATAGGAAGTAGCTCACGGAGAAAGGAGTAGTGGCTACTATAGATCCTCTAGTCACAAGCAAGGGTAGTTAACCCCGAGAGAAAGGAAGAGTTACTTGTATGGATCTGGTCCGTCATCAACCTCCGCAACTTTGTGCCGTCTTTACGGACAGCTTGGCCATCAGACTTACTCTTGTGCTTATGCGATGTGGTACTAGTCAAGGAGCGACATAACCGACTCCCGTTATGTGAACTGCTACACTTGCGGAGCCTCTGGCCATTACGCGACGTCCTGCCCGGTAACTTACCAAGATCCAAGGACTTCGACTACACATGTGTTTTCCACCCTTCAAGCAAGTGATGATGACGAGAAACAACCAACCTTAGGGGATTAGTTATGTACTAAGTGTAGGAACCCTAGAACTCCATTGCCTTAATATGGCACCAAGCAAGCTATGAGTGGATGCTGAACTCTTATCTTAAGTGTGTGTGAAATACTCTAAATATTTTTTTCGATTTACGGTTTTATTGAACTAATTTTTTTATATGTGGTGCCGCTGTTTTTTACGGAATGGTTGTGCTCCGCATGATTTGTATGATTTTGGCTAAGTGTGAACCTATTGATGGAAAGATGATTTTTAAATATGTATGACGTTTTTTCAAGCCTTGTGTTATGTTATCTTGGTTTGAATGGATGTCTTATTATGAGCAAAGTAGATAGGTTTCAATTCGAGTATGCATGATATTTGCTTAAGTCCACATCTCTGCACGCCGATCACTGTGAGTTGGGTCCCGGGGATTGATGAGTCGAATCCCAGCGGATTGTTGATGTTGCCTTTTTCCAGTTTAGCTTGGCTTGTTGAATCTATGCATTCATACTCGTTTATCTTGTTTATATGGTGTCGTGTTGGCTAGAAACCTTGTTTACCTGAATCTTGTTCGTAGGTTGATAATAGAGACATGCATTCATTCTCTTGAGCTTGAACATTGATTGCGTGTTGTTTTATGCATAAATGACCAGACTGGTCATGGTGACCGTGGTGTCGCCTGGCCTGTTGAGAATTGTCATATCACTTAAAGTCTAATCTGCTTGATCTTGATAGAAAACCACTGCATCTTACTGCTTGAATCTATCATATTGATTTCATGTTGCATGTTAAGTTTACTTGATGATTTCCTGATCTATGCAACAGATGCTTGTTCTTGTATGTTTACTTGATGAGTTGATAATACGCGGTGACTGCTAGCCATTATCTCTAGATTGCTCGATAGGATTATGATGATGTATGCAGTGATATGTTAATAGTGAAGTAGGATTAATGTATTGATGCATGCCGTCGTAGTTGCATGCATAAGTGTCATGTGTTGAGTGGTAGACCGACGTTCCCGGATGGATCATGGTTATCACGAACCGCAAGTGCTGTGGGATAACCATGTAAGCGCGGAGGGCACTGGGGTAGCTCCCCTGGCTATGCATGCGCGACGGCGCATGAGTTCACTGGTGGGACTGGAAATTTGTGTGCATGTGTGGCTGCAACTTCCGCGGGTTGCCCGGGAATGGCCGACGGGTCTGCAAGGCCTTGCGTTTTGTGGAATTCTGTACTTGCATTCATATTGTTCATATGGTCGTTGTGAGAGTCTAAGCTATCGCGAATGTTTGCTTGTGCTGCTAGCCGTGATTGATTGTCTTGTTTTGTTGTGTGATTGATGGATGCTTTTTATTTTGGGTTTGGGCGGGATTCCTATACTTGATTGTTAGTAAAACTCT